AGGGCCGGGCGTTCCGTGAGGGCCTCGTGCGCGGTGGGGGCCCCGTGCCCCGGTGAGGGCCGCGCGCGCCCGGTGAGGGCCTCGTGCGCGGTGGAGGCTCCATTCTCCTGTGAGGGCCGCGCGCCCCGTTGAGGGTCCCGTTGCCCAGTGGGCGCCCCGTGCACGGTGGGCGCCCCGGTGGGGGCCTCGTGCCCCTGTGAGGGCCCCGTTGCCCAGTGGGCGCTCCGTGCGCGGTGGGCGCCCTGGTGAGGGCCCCGTTGCCCGGTGGGCGCCCCATGCGCGGTGGGCGCCCTGCCCCAGTGGGGACTCCGTGCCCTCACTGGGGCCCTGTTTCCAGTGGGGTGAACCTTGACCCCCGCGTCCCCGCTGCGTGCGGGGCTGCGTTTCCTTCCATGTGGAGAGGGGAAGGGGGATCTTCCTGGCCAGATGCGCTGTCAGGATCGGGCTGGGGGGGAGGGGGCGGCGGCTGCTTGGAGGCTGCTCCAGCTCCTCAGACATTTCCTTTGAGATGCAATGAAGGTCCAACTTCTTTATCATATTTACTCATTAGTTGTCTTTCCCTTTTTAACAGAAAAATCCATTTTCTTCTGAGGAGGGTGCACAGTATTGCCTTGGGTTCCTGGACCTGATAACATGGCAAAAGATGTAAGTATGTTTGCCTCAAGCTGCACACCGGCTTGAACATCACTCTTAATAGCTTTCTGCCTTTCAGGCTGACAAACGTGTGAACTACAGGGTGTTTATTTTGAGAATTTTTAAAGGAAGGCGGCAGGATACAGTGCCTCACCTCTGTACCAATGTTCTTTGTAACCGAGACCTTGACAGCAGGTTGTGCGCTTGGGTAGTGCTACTTTGACTCCTAAATTCTTTCGAGTCTATACTAACATTATAGTTTGGAGACATTCTCTGGTTAAGGGAATGGGGGTAGAGCTTAGCATTTTCTAGGGGCTTCTGCACAGGAAGCTGCTTGGCATGACTGGCCCAGAGTAAACACTGCACTTGTCTTGGGTCGTCTGTGGAATAATCATTCAGCTTCCATGGATCAAATACCCACTTCATCTTCAGCACCTTTTTTCAGAAAGGTGACATTTGGTGATTTCATGAGCCATAAATGTTAGTTAGCATAGCTTTGTATTTGTCATGAGGCTATTTAATATTCTGAATGATTTATGATTTTTTAAAGTGGTATGAAGAGACTGGCTTTTATGTATCTCTGTTGTTGTTGCTTGGGCAATTCTTCATAGCATCCCTTTAGATCCTGTAAACATCACCTGTGTCCTTTAGCATTTCTTAGGATGTGTTCTGTCACAGACATGGCAAAAATGAAGCTTTTTTTTGCTCATTTATTTACTATATAGGACTGCCATCAGCCAAAGGTGCAGTGAGGCTTGGTAAGCCTGTGTTCAGGTTGAGGAGTAACAAGTGTGGAAGCTTTTCTACAGCCTCAAAGGCTGTAGGCTTTCAGGGGAGCCATGCTGAATGGCCCACACACATTCAGTGCCTTCCTCTCGTTCAGCTCTGGACCTGCTTTTGGAAGACACGTAGCTTTTAGGGGAACTTAGTGTCTTTAAGCTATAGTCTTAGTCTGTGTGTGAATGGTAAGTTGACTTGTCATCTTCAGTTGTGTTGATGGGTAACCATGCTGCCTCTTGTGTATGTGCCTTAAAGATGAAAGCTATGTGGCAACATTCCCAATAGGCTGCTAGGTTTGAGACAGTCTTTCACTGGGGTTGCTCATGCCATGCCTCTGTAGGGTAGATAGTTCCAGGACATATTGTACTTTTAGTGACTAAACACTTAGGTCCCTTACTGATGTGGTTCTTCTGTTTTGTTCTCTTGGTATTCTATGGAGAGAGACCCATGGACATGACTGGCACGGGGTCAGGCTCTGTTGTCTGACCAGAGGAGGACTGAACACCCCTCCAGTACAATCACCATGAGGCCAGCTGATGCCCCTGGTGCTGACTTCAGGTCATCCATTATGGTGTGAGAGGGGAACGGATTGTGGGGGGAACAGGGTCTGCAGGCTGAGAATCAGCCAGGATTTTCAGGCTGGAAGAAGTCAGAGTGTTTGCATGGACTGGAAGCTGAGGTTGTAGACAGTCAAGTATTGGCCATTTTGTAGCCAACCAGGTGGTAACGTGTGGGGTGTGACATTTAGGATTTTTTTGTTTTTGTTTTGGTGTTGGTCCTCGGGCTTGACCTCAGGGCCCTGTCCCTGTCCCTGAGTTTTTGTGCTCAAAGCTTCAAAGCTAGTGCTTTACCACTTGATCTATAGCTTCACTTCTGGCATTTTGAGGTTAATTGGAGACAAGAGTCTCTCAGACTTCTGTTGCCCTGGTTGGCTTTGAACTGTGATCCTCAGATCTAGGAGTAGCTAGGATCACAGGTGTGACATTTGAGGTTTAGAGGATTCACAACTAGTGCTGCAGGAGGACATGAAGGAGCTATGGAGTGTTTCTTAGCAGTAGTTCATCAGATAAAATCTAACTGGTTGGGGCTGGGAAGGTGGCTCAGTGGTAGAGTGCTTGCCTTGCATGCGTGGGTTCTATTCCTCAGCACCACGTAAGCAGAAAAAACCAGAAGTGGCACTGTGGCTCAAGTGTTTGAGTACTAGCCTTGAGGTAAAGAGCTGAGGGACAGCGCCCAGGCCCAGAGTTCAGGTCCCATGACGGACCAAAAACAAAAAAAATCTAACTGGTTGAGTGGGGTACCATCGGCTGGGGTTCTGTAGGACACTGAGCATGTGGGAGGAATTAAGTTTGGGGCCACGTGGAAGAGAACAAGCATGGAGATGATGAAATGCTTTGAAGATCATGATGAGACATTGAGGGGAATGGCTGAGATGCTTGTTTTCTCAGTGGTGGTCCAGGCAGACCTGTAGGTGTGGATAGGCAGGGCAGTCCTTGTTCATAGTGTGTGAGCAGATGAGGCCTTGGTAACAGTTACATGCTATAGGGAGTAGAGAAACCTTGGGAAACAGGATATGAAGTTCCTCTGTCAAGTTCAGTGCCAGCGTATATATTGCCCATGAAGTTGTGATCCTGGTTGCTCCAGCTGAGAATCCCCATATTCTTAGACTTGGCCAGCATGGAGCAGGTTTGTAAGTGGAAAGGGAGGTAGATGCTCCTGTCATAAAAAGTCCTTGGAAAACTTGTGCTGGACCGTGGAAAACACTGACTAGGGTCCTGTATCACTCCCTCCAAGTTCCATGTGCAGGTTATGTGAATCAGAATGTGGCCAGTCCTCCTTACCTACAAGTACTGCACCTTCAGATTCAGCCAACTTCTGATAAAAAAAATTCTGTTGGCACTGAGCATGCACAGGCTGTTGCCTGCCATGACTCCTGGATAGTGCAGGGTAGCTGCTACTTATGGAGCATTTGTGTTGAATTAGGTATTCTAAGTCATCCAGACAAGCCTCAGAGCTGTGGAGAAGCTGAGTGGCTGGGTGTGGTGGCATATACCTGTAATCCCAGGACTTGGAAGTTTGGATAGGAGAACTGAGAGTACATAGCCCATAGCTTTATTCCCATAGGGAACAAGATTAGGCTCAGTATAATTAGACATCTGGATTTTGACATCTAGTAGAGGCTCTCAAACCTAAACCCCTCAGTAAACTGGGATCAAATGCATGCTCTGAGTGCAAGAGTCTTGTCCTTAGGTCGGTTATCTGACTGCTTAGTATACTGTGGCTGGTAAGTTAGTGCCCAACATCCATCACCCTTGGCTTTTTTTTTGTTGTTGTTTTTATTGTTTTTGGACCGTCATTGGGCTTGAACTCTGGGCTTGGGCCTTGTCCCTGCACTCTTCAGTTCAAGGCGAGTGCTCTACTGCTTGAGCCACAGCGCCGCTTCCGATTTTCCAGTGGTTTATTGGAGATAGTCTCATGGACTTTCCTGCCTGGGCTGGCTTTGAACCGAGATCTTCAGATCTCAGCCTCCTGAGTAGCTAGGATTACAGGTGTGAGCCACTGGCGCCCGGCATGACCCTTGGCTTTGAGAGCTGCTCAGTGCTGTCAGTTTGTTTCCTGGTGGTTTATGAAAACATCTCCCTAAGCTATATTTGAGAGCTGAAGACTAAGTACCACTCAGCTGTTCAGTGGCACTACCTAAGGCCCAGTTCATTACCAGCTCAGATTAGTGATAAAGCACCAAACAATGCTTCCCAGACCTAGATGTGGCATTCAGGGCTAGAGAAAACCCATCATGACAGTCCCTCCCTTACAGAAGTTGGTGTGTGGTGGGAATGGATGCTTCTTTACCTTGAGGGTGATTGAAGGGCAGGATGGTGGGCTCAACCTTTGAATGGAGCACTGTCTGTCTACCAGCTTTGTGGGCCAGCGTATCTGTCCACAGGGAATGAAGGTAGAGAAAGTTGAGGCACTGTTAAAAGCCAGAAAATTTCAGTTTAATCAGAAGTGCTGGCTCTGAAACAGGCTGCAAGGAGGCATGTCTGCATGTCTCGGGGGCCAGGCTAGATATAGCAAAGTAGTCCTGGATTCAAGGTTCAGCTAGGTGTCCCTTCACTCCAGGCACCTTCTCTTCCACATAGCAGTGGCTATTTGGTGCTGCCTATCATGACTCCTGACCCTGCATGGGGCCTGGACCATGCTGTCTGCAGTCAGATTGCTGGCTAGCCAGATAGACTCCTGTGAGCCCGGAGGGCTTCCGTACTGCATGTTTGTAAGTTGTGTGGGGTCTGGTCTAACACTCTTCTGTCAGGCCAAGGTGATGTGGGACCTGAATGAAGAGCCATGCTGACCTTTTCCTCCATGGTGCTTGAACTGTGGTTGCCATTTGTGCGAACCCTGTGTTTGCATGCTTCAGTTCCACATGCAGTGTTGGTTGACACCGGTGTCTCTCCTGGGGTCTGATGACCCTGGTGACAGTGATGCTTGTGCTCTGGATACTTTGGTCTCCTGCCACATTGTGGCACTTGGAGTCTAGGAAATTAGATTAAATACTGTGAGGTGATGCTAGGAGATGGGCAGATGCCTGGGCAGGCTGGACTTGGCTTTTTCCCCTTCCCTTCTGGGGCATCTGCTGGGGTGTTCCACTTAGGCCCCTACTGTGTCATTCTGTGGCGAAGTCCAATCACTCCATGCTATCCTCTGTGGTGGCCTGCTACACCACCAGGCTTCTCTGTCGTAATCCCTCTCTGTGATCCATTTAGTAGAAGTTCCACAGGAGGAATTTAGGTCCAGGTAATATTTCTTCTCATTGTTAAAGTATTCTTAGTTGTTGGATTTTTTTTTAAAGGAAGAATATAAAATTGTCCCTAGTTGAATTCTCTGTGAGCAATTGGGATTTGATCTGTTCCTGTTCAGTTAGTACTTTGCAAAGATGTGCCCTGTCTGATCTGTGCCACCATGTATCACCAGGATTTTCCTGTCAGCCATTTTTTCCTGACATGGTTTTAACAGCTGTAGGTTTAGTCAACATGCTTGGAAATTGTAGACTTGGACTTGCTGAGGAGGTAGGAAATAAACATGACACAGAGCTAGACCCTTTATTTTAGATCCAGACCAGCAGTACACCCTTGGATATGGAATGAAAGCTGATTCTTGGGAAATGGGTCCATCCATTCCAGTTTTTTACATGAACCATCCCAGAATATCAAGTTCTGACTTTGGGAGAATGGATG